GGGTGATACTGGACGAATTTCTTTTTATTCAGTTTCAGTTAGTCCATTTCTATTAAATAGTGTCCGGAGGTAGGCTTGTAAGGAGTTAAGCTGCGTGGTTAATGAACAGTTAGATAGTTTCTTAAACTTAGTTGAATCAGAGAACAAGTTCGTCATAGATGTGATATAATCAGTTTTCTTCATTATCGCAACACCATTTCCTTTATCAGGTTTAAGAATTACATACTTATTACGTAAGATTATTAAAGTATTAATACGTTTGGCATCACAATTTAAATTTCGGTTATCAAAGTCAAGAAAGTTACATGTCATTGCACGAATTGAGTTCTTAATTTTCTCACGTTTAATAAATGATTTAGGTAGAGCATCAGCATTATTAAGTTGTTCCCAAATTGATTCGGCATAAACAAACATATCAGAGTCCTTAGGTCGTGTAGCTAATCCATTACGGATACCAAATGTTAAGACAGATTCTTCTTCCTTAGATAATGTTTCGCCAGTTAAGTTAGTAATTATATGGTTATGGTTCTTACACGTTCCATTGATTATTGCATGTTCACGTAGAAGGTTGTTGAATTTACGTCCATGGCGGTAAGATACCTTACGCATTTCCTTATCTACAGTAGTCCTAACATGATGCTTGATTACTAAGACACGTAACCATGTAGTAGACTTAACGAGAGCGTCGTCAGAGACTGAAAAACTGTTCTTGCTTACCTTAAGTTGAGAGTGCTTGTCCTTTATTTCGTCCTTTAGAATGCAATTATGGACAATATAGAATAACATTAACAAAATGAAAAGTGCCGACTTCAGGTTTCGCCATCTAACAAACTTTGGATATACCTTGTTATCGCGACATTTAACGAGAAAGTCCAGGTCAAGTTCCGTTTTGCGTAGTTTCCTATAACAGTTTTGGTATTTGGTGGTCGCTATATGGACATCCAGATTGCCTTATCTAGGAAAACCAGGTGAGTTTATTTTACGTAGATGTTTAAATAAGGTAAAGAAACACTTAATTAAAGAGGTAAAATTC